GAAAAGTGCTTCCGGTCACGGAGCAGTTTGGGCTGCAGACACCTGAGCCAAGGGCATCCTCTTTGCAAGGCAGCTTTATACTTCATTCTGCTTTGGGTGGTATAAAGGAAGGGGAACTCTGTTTGTTAATGTGTGTAGAGGACAATTAATATAATTAATACTTGGGCATTTTATAATTAACAAAAAAACTAAAACAAGTTTTTAAAAAGTACATATTAACTCCAGCCTGATAGTGCTGAAAATTGTTCTAGCTTCTTGGTCCCACCTCCAAGTTCTACCTGCTGATGCGCAAAATACCAGCAGTGCCATCTTTGGAAATAAATGGCAGCTTCAGGAAAATCGGTCTTCAAAGAGAGCTGAAGGGGAGGAAAACGGCCCTCTCAGCCGTGTTTCTCGTCAAGTCCGCAACTATCTTTAGAGACACCCAGCTCAACATATTCCATTTTCTCTGACTCATGTAATTTCCTGCACTTGCCAATTAATATCCTGCAGAGTTACCAGTGAACCAAAAATGAAAATCTAGATTATTCCTGCCAACTAGCCTGATTGCCATTTGTTTTAAATAAAATGTCTTCCTGATATGCAATGTTGTGGTTTGCAAAGGGTTTATTTCAGTCATGTCAACCTATGGTGTAATGATTGTATCTGACAGGAAGGGAATTTGGGATTACATTTATACAAAAAATAAACTGGCCCATCTCTCAGAGCTAATTAAGTGGCAGAGTTGGTATTTGAACCCTATTTCCTGCCTCCAGATCTTCCTTCTAGTAAGTTTAAGGGCTTCTCAAAGTTTCTTTAATGGTCCTTTTATAGCTTGTGCTTTCATAGAAAATGTAGTTGTTGTTTTTTTCCTTTTGGTCCTTTTTTTTTTTTTCAGCTGCTTCCCAGGTTCCAAGTCTCACAGGGAACCTTACAGTTTAGGAGGAAGTAAAACATTCAGGCCTGAGAAGAGGCATGGGAGTGCTCCAGAGGAGAAAAAATGTAGTTCTTAACTGAATTACCAAACCCTTGAACTGAAATTTTCAGCCCTACCAGTAGCTGCTACTCTTTCACTATATTTTGAGCATCCTCTATTAAATATACGTCAGGCACTGTTCTAACTAGTTTGTGTCAACCAGTGAACAACACAAAGTTTCTGCCTTTGCGGAGCTTACAAACCCAGTGAGACACAGACAACAAACTTAAAATGTTAGGTGATCAGTGCTAAGCATCAAGGACAGAGCAGAGCAAGGTAGGAATGAGTGGCGGGGCTGAGAGTGGGGGAGGGTGTTGGAATACTACACAGGGTCCTCAGGGTAGGCTTGAGATGACAGCTGAGCCAAGACTTAGAGGTAGGAAGCTAGCCAATGTCAACACCCTATTTAATATTGGCTTGTTGTTACTTTTATTCTTTGGATACCAAGTAGGAAGCAATCATCATGCTTTTGTTGAAAGATGTGAACAACGCTGAGCCTGTTAGTGCAAAAACAGATGTTTCAACCATCCATCCAGGAGCTTGGGGTCACTTCATGCAAGTCTTAAGTCCTGAACAGCTCTGATCCAAAGTCATAGGACCTTGAATCAATATACTGCTGTGTTGAAAATACAACCATCAAGACAGACGACCCAGTGTTGAATACACACCAGAATGCCTTCTGTCATTTGTTAGTCACTGTTGAAATACACGCACACCTGCACGACAGCATGTCCAAATGTCATCTGACTACTTCCTGTTACTTCAAACTTTGGAAATAATCTGGTTGTATAGATTTACAAAGTATCAACATGCCCATCCATAACTCTAGAACAAAGAGCAAAATATTTTTAAGTGGCCCTACAATTCAAAAAAGCAGTTAGACTGACACTACTACCATCTCTGTTTTTGACACAGGACTGTAACGTGTGCTTTTGGTTTGGGGGTTTGTTTTTAACTGTCTATCCAAATAGCTGAGAAAAGCAAGCTCTGCAGCCATGAGTCATCCACGGGATAATATGCCACAGGCAGAGTCGACCAAATTGCAGAGGGAGCACTGGGACAGCCGGGTAAACAAAGCGGTGGGTGGGGAGGTGGGCGGCAGGACAGAATTCTCAGGCTGCACTGAAGTGACGGCATGGACTCAGAGCCACTCCGGGACGAAATGGGGCCAGTTCCTGAAAATAACTGGTGGTTTATCACAACGAACATGAAACAAAACAATAAAGAAATGAAGATGAATGTTTGGAGCTTGTTCAAATCTCTCAGAGTAAAATTATATCTGAAAGAAAACACAGCTAGAAATAGTTGATTACATGTCTTTATACAGAGAGTAAAAACTGGCTGAAACCAATTTGTTAACTAGTTTATTTTCCAGAAATGATGCATTTGTTTATTGTAGCAGCCGACTTGGTGCTGTATCCATGGGCAAGTGTGCGGCATGCCCCAGCCCACACACACTATCTCAAAATTATACCACTCCTAGTACACATTTGGTGATTAATGACAGATACAACATGTACTTACTAAATGTAGCATTTCCACAGCAACTGACAATATTTAACCAAAAGGGCACTGCAACAGCCAGAGGCCTGTGCACACACTGGGGAGCACCGTTCCCACTGGGAAGCCCCATGGCACCCCCGAAGCTGCGCCAGGCGGTGCACCTGTCTGCCAAATCACCGCTCTTCATTAGTTAAGCCCCATCTGTTTGTTCTTTTGCAATCTTAATCTCTGATTTCACAATAATTGATAAACTTTAAAGTGCACCATACTTTATAGAAAGAAAACAATTCTGCATTGGGGCAAAAATGGCAAACTGCTATTCAAGGGTGGCATTCTTTTTCTGGTTTCCACCCACACTGGGTTAACAGCAGTACTGGGGCAGGAGGTACCTGGATGACATAGGCAGTGTGTGCTTGTCTGTCTGTCTGTCTTTCTCTATGGTGGGAATAAACTTCCATTTTATACTAAATACAAAGAGAGTAACTACATAATATGTTTGTCCATCGGGAAACTTGTAACAGTGAAATAAGGAAGCATCAATCAATTAATCTGTACAATAGGCATAAATTGAGACTCTTCTTGGCAAAGCTAGATGCATGTTTTACCCTACAAATAGACATGAATTCTTTCTCCCAAAATATATGGTAAAAGCTGGAACTCACTCATCTGACAGTAATGTCGTCATACTGATTCTACAGGGAAAAATGGGACCTTTTGACACATCATTCGAGCTGGATTCCCAGAAAAAAGTATTAGGATGTCAGCAGCCTTACACAGAAACATGGGACTCAGATTAGTGAAGACATTTCCTAAACTGCTTTCACCGGAGACTTGACTCGCAATGGCCAGAGGGCTCCACGAAGCTTTAAAACTCAACTGGCAGGAAACATGGGAGTGGCGCTGAGATACTGATGTCCAAGAAAGCATCGTGTCCATATGAGACCGCTGAAATACCCAGCCCGCCTTTGCCTCCAAACTTAGCCAAGTTATTTGAACTTAGTGGATTTGTAACATCAGAGACCTGGTCTAACATGATATGTAATATCCCATTCAAGGACAGATTTTTCCAACAGAAAAATCTAGAGACAGGTCAGACTGAAATGAGTGAAGGCCTCCTAGGGAAACAGAGGCTGTGCATTCAAAGTCCCTCTCTGGTTTAGCGATAACCTGCAAACCCTTGCACTACAGGGACTGCTGCGCATGTGTCTGGAGGACTGGGATCAGACATGTGTTTATTTTGAACATTCATCCCATCTCATTCCTAAGCAGTGACTAAGTTTATTGGCTTCAAAATGTATCTTAATTTTCCATTTGGCTTATCAGAAGCAACACCTCAGTATTTTTGTCAGTAATGACAAATGTCCATTTTCAGTGCTTTAATGTCAATATCAAAATTAGTTTTAAGGCATTAATTTCAGAGAAAGGGAAGAAACATGGATTTGTTTTATGCAGTTATACATTCATTGGTTGACTCCTATATGTATCCTGACAGGTGAACTGAACTCACAATCTTGGTGTATCAGAAGGATGCTCTAACCAACCGAGCTACCTGGCCAGGGCCCTTAGAGCTTAATTTCCTTCCTCTGGTGCTTGCTGGGCTTCTTCCATCCCTCTTAATCCTGATCTTTCTCAGTCAGTACTCTGGGCATGGTTCGGTGATGGGTGGAATCCCGCCCTGATCTTTAGTAATCACTACTTCCTTTCCAGAGACTCTAATGTTCTCCATAATACTCTACAGAGATAGACGCCACTTGAGGATATAGATGCAAGAGATTAAAGGGTCAAGAGTTTAGTGCAGTTTCTACTAATCTGTTTTTCATTGTCTCATAACTTGCACCCCAACTTCCTACCCACATAATGATTCCTGACTGACTCAAGGACTGAAATAGTCAGAAGATGCCAATCTTGTCTGACCCTAGGAGCCTTACTTAGGTATCTCTCCTGCTTTAGATGTGGAGACAATGTGGATAGAATATGTCCATAACTGACTGAAGGACTCAAATGGTCAGAAGACACCGAGCTTGTGTGACTCTACGAGGCTTACGTAGGTGTCTCTCCTGCTGACCAAGGTGTGGAAGGAGTATGTTTGGTTGGGATTTCGAGCAAAACCAACTATACAAAGTAGCACCTCTCCACCTTCAGTATGCAACAGACTCATGAGATTGAAAACACAGGCACATACGCTGAGATTCTGAGTGGGCTAAAGCTGGAGACATCTACACATGTAAGAAGCAAACCCCAATTCCACCCCCACAATTCTGATGTAGGTGGTCTACCACCTTCCCCTCTGAAAATCACACAAAGCAGTGATAAAGCAGTGACCTTCAGGGGGGAATCACACACACACACCACCTATGCACCAGACACACTGCCCCATGTCCACATTCACCTGTGGATGTAACTTCTGGTCAGTAGACACGTGTATGTCCAACCACGTACGAGCAAACATTCTACCAGTCACTCAAAACTTTCTGCTCAGAGGTTCCATCTGTCATCCATTCTAATACACACTAAATCAAGACAACAGTCCTGAACTCATGGCGGGTTTTTAAGGTATGCAATTACTTTATTTCCTTGGCCTGACAGTATAAACTTCATTAAACAAGAGCCTGCAGCTGACAGAATCAACACAGATTCCCCCCCAGCGGAAGGACCCGTTTCATTAGCAGAGATGAACTGATATGTTACGTCCAAGTGCAATTCCTGCTCCCCACCCCCACCCATAACCCCTACAGTGAAAATAATCAGAATCAACAGAATCCCACAAATTACTAAAAGTCATCCCCTCAAACTTTTCTAACTAGCAGCTGCAGTAAATGAAAACCCACAGAGGGAGGCAGCTGGCCATCACTTAGCGTTTCTGTGCATGTGAGACTGAAGGGACAGCAGGGAGGGAGGACATCCCTTGAGTCTGTAATTGGAAATGGCTGAGGCTCATTAAACTCCACGGTAGGTATGGAATAAGGGGCACCAGAGAGACAGCAGGTTAGGCAGAGATGTTCAATACTTCATCAGTTCCAGTTAAATGCTATCCAAACTATCTTCATAATCACGTATCCTTCACGCCTGGCCCCTAATTTCCTAAAGTAAGAGAGCTCTATCTAAGTTTCTGTCAGATGTCTACCACCACCACTGGGGCGGTACTGTGACGTTTGTGTGTGAGGTTATGACTGGGATGGGGAGTGGAAAGGAGGAGGTGTGGAGAAGAAGAGGTGTGACAACAGGAGAGACGGGACACAATGTTTTCATTACAATGTGTCTCCTTTGGTCCCCAGGAATGGTCCACTACCAGTAGTCCTAAAACATTCCCATCCTCTTCTTCTAGCTAACTTGTGCAAATGTCAAAAAGAGAATCTCTGCCCAAAGAGAAGGGAAGAGCCGGAAGTTGATGCTGGTCCACAATCATCTCTGGCCCCAACCTGCTCACTTCCTGACTCTTCTATTAAAAAAAAAAATTACACAAAAATTTGCAGCAATGCTGTGAAATTACATCATCTCCATTCCTCAAGCAAAGCTAATCCAATAGCTCTGTTCTGACATGCTTTCTCCCTGGGCCGAGGAAGCAGCAAAAAATATCAATTGAGCAGGTGAAAATATGGTGACGGTGTGTGCGGTGTAGTGTTTCCAGATGTCTTCACCTTCTGTCTCCTCCGTCGTGGGAGCCCCCCCTTCTCTCCCCCAAGTCCCACACACACCCCCTCCCCCTACCCCCGAGTCCAGGTGCTCCCATCTGCTGGACTTCCGCCACTCACTTCCCATAGACACTCTCATCACTGTAGGCCACATACAGAAAATAGTCTTCCTCGTGGTTGTCCTAGGGCAAGAGAGAAGAGGACAGGTTACAAACATAATCACATTCTTTATCTCCAGGACTGTGATCTTCACATAACCTTCTAAAGTAAGTATGGAAGGTGTATTTATTATAGAACCCAATAAAAGGAAGAACAATGAGTATTTAGAACTGGTGCGATTCAACCCTGAATGCACAAAAACCTTCATGGAGAATATCATACACGTAGGTATCAGGGATACAACCAAGACTAGGGCATAGTCCTTACCTTTAAAAGCTCGTTCTAGCAAGGGGGACAGAGATACAACAAAACACACATAATGAAATATATGCCAACAGGGTATATATGCTATGGAATAAAAATTAGGTTAGCAGCATTAGAAGTTTTTGCACTCACTAATGAAGCACAAGAAGGCAGCAGCATCTTGTGTGAAATCCTTGAAGGAATAACACAGCTACACTCTTAGGTGATACAACATGATGAAGTCCTTTACTATAGTTTTTTCGTAATAGAGTCTGACAATTTACCAGTTAAGCCAAACAAAATCACATAACATAATCTTTCCAGCTGAGTTTATCTTTGAAGACAATTTAAAGATTTTTGCCTCAATTATAAATTTCAGTTTACTTGAAATTTTCACAATCAGAAGCTATTTCCTGCTTTCAATAAAGATAACTTCGTATTAAAATACTCGACCAAGGCAAGACTGAAAAAATAATTCAAAGGCACTGAATCCAGTAGCTGCTCCATTCCTAAAGGACAAGTGGTATCTAATCTCTCAGAGCCTCACACGGCCACGGGTAAGTGGATCCTGACAGACAACACCTCCTGCTCCACTTCCCGGGCACGTTATCAAAAGGCACTGGAACAAGAGCTGAAGAACAGCCGACCTGTCGGTATTGTGGTGACCGAGACCATTACCTCATACAGCTGGCCCATGGTGGCGCTGGTGGGAGGGATGGTGTTGTTGACAAAGAAGAATAAGGCGTCCTCAGGTCTCAGGTGGATCCTCTTCCGGATTAAGAAGTAGAACTGGCCAACTAGATGAAGGAAGAAGGTTTTAGAAACGGCAACAGGGAACAACACAAGGGATTAGGAGAAGGGTAACACCCAGAAAAGAATTCTCCTATACCTCATCCCTTCAAAGTACCAGCTTTACATACTATCTGGACAGAACCCAGTACTGTCCTATAGCTGTAGAAATAAAGTGAAACTCAAAGAAGTCTTGCATTTCCCAACATGCTGCTGAGGAGCTTATTCCTCAGAAAACAGACACTTCCCATGCTTTACTCAGTTTCAGACCTAATGTTAGCATACCCACTCAAGCCTGAGGACGGCTCTGAGGGAATGCCATGTATGTCCAGACTGAAACATTCCCATCCCCATCTAATGTGATTTGAAACACACTTCCATCTCAAGACAAACTAGCCGTGGGAAGAGGTCTTCTGGACTCCAGTAATCAACCTTAGTACCATCACTCAATGTAGGGATGATGAGTGGAGTTCACAGCTTTCCCTTTTACCAAGAAGACTGAAAAAGTTCTAGAAGGTTGATATTTAAATCCAGGAACTCTGAAGCAAATACATCTAGAAAACTTTCTAGTTTCTCATGGATGCAGTGATTCCACTAAGGATCAAGGTGAAGAATGAATATATCTTCAGCAATTTCAAACAGTATCTATAAAACATTAACAAAACACAAACAAAAACGCAAAAACAAAGAAAACGTAGCTTGAGGAAAAAAGTTATTCACTTGGGAATCTCTAAAATGTGATCCTCCACCAAGAAACCGGTCTGGGTTTTCTTTTGGAATAAACTGACATCAGTGACAAAGCTGATTTTAAGTGGTTTCACTAACAGACATTTGATCTTCTCTTTCAATGTTTAAGTCACACGAGGCTCTATGATGGAAATACTTGAGGGAAGCAGTGACGGGGAAGAGTTATTCCACCGTTTTTGAATCACCTAATTCTCTGGGAAGCACAACTCCCTTTCTTCAACCCCCCTTCCTCAGTCTCACAACCTCATGTTTGCAAGAAGGACTGGGAATGCTTTGCCATGGGAGGAAGGGTCAAGGGGAAGGAGAGCATTACCCGTGAGGTCAGAGGGCACTAGGTACTTCCTCTTGTCCAGGTCAGGCACCCTGGCCTTAGGAGCCTTCTCCACGATCACCTGGGAGGGGGCAGAGAGTAGGGAGTGAAAACTACAGAATCTAACCTAGTATTTTCCCTTCCGCACCCTACAATTACCCTATTTGAAGTGAGTGTGACGAATGCCAATAACACTGTTCCATTTCTTATTCTCCCTCCCCCCTTACAAGTGTATGGGGGAAATGGGCTTTCTTAGAAAGGCTGTAGTTTTATTACTACAGTAACAATGGAGCGGGCATGTGATGAAAAGGAAAAAGAACCTTGATTTTAAGTATTTATAAGTTACTTGTAAAGTATACACTAGGGTACATGTTTTCTGATATTTAATTAGAGCGTTAAGATTGTCTGGACGTTCCCGAATGGCCCAGAGTCCCTATCAGTTTCCTATCTTGCAAATGCCATTTATTAAAGCTACAGAAAACAGAGTTTAAACTTTGTATTTTGTCAACATTTTTGAGAATGACCACAAAAAATTGTTAAGACACTTTACATAAAAAAGTAGTAAAGTACTTCTTTAGTATGATATTCTGCAATATAATATCAGTACAATAACCTATTTATCAAGAGTATGTTAGAATTTCAAGGGATTTTCAACACTTTAAATATTTCTATAACACTTAAAGGTTTAGAAAGATCATATATTTGTGTAATGAAAAGAAAAAATAAAGCAATGTAAAAATTAAAGACTTTTTATGCATGTAAACTTATAAAATAGAAAACATTTATAATTTAAAATATTTAAATAACATTACAAAAATATATTCAGTATTTACAGATTTATAAACTATGTGCATTATATTACATGTTTACAATTTAAATATTTAAAATTCTATTATAAACCCATGAGCTTTAGATTTTTCATTTAGAAAATATCATCATCCTAGACAGAGGGTATGGGAGGTATGGAAAGTTAAAGAAGCAGATATAAACACTGGACAAGTTTCCCTAGTAGCTGTGTGATCTTCAACAGGTCACTCAACCTCTCTGAGCTTCAGCATTCCAATGAGTAAAAGATGGTAACTTTTCAACACCTCCTTTAGAAAGTTATGGTACTGATACGGTGAACTAGAATAATCCGTAAAATTCTATGTGAAATGCCTGTAAATTATGTAGAAGTATCTAAACATAAGAACTGGCTTAGAGGGAGGGATCTGAAGCTTTTAAATTTAAGGGGACCAATTAAAATAGTGGAAAGTTTAGTTTATATATACAGAGAAAAAGAATACTATTCCATTTAGAAGAGCAAGATAACACTTACGATTAAAAATAAAAACTAAGTGTCGCAGGTTCGATTCCCAGTCAGGGTACATGCCTGGGTTGCAGGCCATGATGCCCAGCAACTGCAGATTGATGTTTCTCTCTCTCTATCTCCCTCCCTTCTCTCTCTAAAAATAAGTAAATAAAATCTTAAAAAAAAAAACTAGAGTAGTGACATGTGAATCAGAAATTAAAAAGAAAAAGTAGGAAGAGCATCAGGGAGAGACCGATGAAGGTCCAACAATGAGGAGGGCCAGGAGGCAGCATGGTAATAAATTCAAAGCTAAACAGGACATATAGCACTGTGTCCAGCAGGAACTTTGAAGCCTGGAATTTCCAGCTCTGGTCAGTACATGAAGGAACCACAAGAAGGGAGCAGAAAAAGAGCAATAAAACCAACTGCAAAGGAGACATCCATGGCGCAGTGTGGAGGAAGGGGCGAGACTGGGTGGGAAAGACTTGGAGGAGGAAGGAGAAGGATAAACCACTGGTTTACCAGAAAGTATCTGTTTCAAAGAATCCCAACTCACTTATAGTGGGCCCTGGGCCAGAGGCTTTGCCTGTTTGGTCCTGTTTTTCTCATCTGTGAAGTGAAATGTGGCTAATACCCCTTGGAGCCATTCACGAATTTAAAAAAAATAGACAACCCCTTGCCTTGCCTAAGAGTTTCCTGCAATGTTGCAGGTTTTCAATACACTGTAGCTATTAAGATCATTTCAAGAACACATGAAACCCTCCTCCCTCAAAGCACAAGCACACCTGTCCAGGTGTGGCAGCTCTGGAGACACTGTTGGCGCTAAGCTTGAGCTACGTGAGCAGTCAGTGCGTGACTAATTTCACACTGCCAACGGTCAGTCCAGCTGGAAGGGGCACTGGAAATCATTTACTCCAACCTTTTGTGTAAACAGAACACTTCAGCGAGATTAAGTGTCCTGCGCAAAACTGGAATCAAATCTCAGAATTCAGAGAGCAGAGCTCCTCTTTCTGCGTCACAACTACAAAGAAGGTCACAGGCTGAGTACCTAAGGAGCAGTTGGGAGGCTTAACACTAGTTAACACTTAACTGGAGGGACAAGCTCTGAGTGATGGTCCTGAGTTTACACATTATACAATTTTGTAAATCATTTAAGACTAAACCTAGCAGGAAGAGAATAGGGAGAATTACCTGAAATGTTCTGGGTGGTTGCAAAGGGAAATGTGATGGGCTTGATTTTAAGGAAACATAGGAGTTTTAACTAGATTAACAGGGACATTTCAGAGTTTGTAATTTATACAGAGTTGCTGGAACAGAGTCTCATACTACTCTGCGAACTCTTGATAGAAGCAACAGATTATTTCTCTATTTCCAATACCTCATGGTGTGAGGTACAGAGTATACACTTCATTCTAATAGAATTGTATTAGAAACTGGGAAATATATCATGAAGGACCCAACAGCAGGGCTGCAATCCAAGGTCTCCGCAGACCAACCATGTGAAGCCTTTAGGGAGTAACATCATTCCTCTGTGCTCCCGAGTTTTCTTCTGCAGAGTGTGGATTATAATGGTGTGAAGATGACTACAGAGTGAGTGACTACAGAGCACTCAGAATATGCTCAGGTACATGGTAAACCACCAATAAAAGTTAATTGTCACACTTATATGTTATTATCAGAAAGTATAACACCACTAGAATTGGGAGAAACTTTTAAAGCAGTCATCCAATGTTGAGAGACCAGCAGAGTAACTAGTGAAGGACCCCTTTTTGTGCACAATTTCCAGAGAATAAATGGCCCTCGTGTCTCCTCTTTCTTAGAGGAAAAGGACCGCTCGCGGTTTCTGCTGCTGGCTTAAGGCCCAGATTGCTCTGGTAGCTATGAGACCAGGACAATTAGATAAGGATTGGAGAGGAGGCCCAAGAGCACCTGCTGGTAAAGAAAGCACATCATAACATCGCAATCCCTTTATCTTAATGTCCCTCCCTGCCTGATGATGTTCTTTCAGCTCCAAAATCCAACGATTACTGTTCCCTCTAACACAAAAGTCTTCTGCCTCCCCATCCTGCTGTGCAGCCTACGTGAGAGGAAAACCAGGCAAGTGGCGGGGGAGGGGTGACAGGAAAAAAGCCCGGATGCAGAAAGATACCCTCTCAATTCCTCCTCAGTGACTGGACGAGTTTTATTACATTAACCAGGGTCCAAAAAGCAGAGAAACACGCCTCAGGCCTTCCTGATTGTGTCCAATTACAATCTGATCAGAATAAGTAGCGGAGCTGGCTGCCCCACACTCGCCCTGGGAGCCAAGAATGAGGCAATCCGGCTGTGGCGCAGAGAACGTGACCTTGTTTTCCAGGCCAGGCCTGTCCTGTGGCACTCCCCATCCCCCCTCCTATCTTCACACAATTTAACATATAAATAAATAAGTAAATAAATAAGTAAAAGCTGGTTTCCGAATCTTAGCCACCCAAACCCAATGCTTTGGTCCAGTGAGGACCAAAGTCAACTTAATTAAGGAAGAACCAGCTGAGGCATAAATCTATGGGGGCGAACCACGGATTATTCCCAAAATAATTTTTCTGAGTCTTTAAGGGAGCAAATGTACACAAGGGCCACATTTTAAGCACCTCCCAACCCACAGAGCTTCTGAATACTGCTGAGTCATTCAAACGTAGGCTTCGCTCTAAGGATGCGGTCAGCTCCAAAGATGGGTACGGGCCCTGAGTGTATGCGTTTTAAAAGGCCCGCAGTCAGAACGTCCATTGCAGTGGTCCTCCTCGCAGTGGAGGACGCCCTGGGTTAAGTAATTTTAGGGACCAGCGACCTTCTGTGCCTTAAGGCAGCCATCACGACTCCCCCACCTTCCCACATTCCCCTTTGCCCTCCCCCTTCCCGCTCCCCTGAAACTCACAGGAACCCTGTCCGGATATTTCTTCCGGATCTTTTCTCCTTCTTTTTTCCGATACTCAAAGGGATGGTCCTCCTTATACTGGAACTTCATGATGGACCGCAGGGTTCCTAAGATCCCCGGACGGGGCCTGCCTTCCTCGCTGATGATTGCGTCTCTCCCGCCTCGCTTCCCTCCACCAAATTTCAACGGGTATCAGACTCGCTACGGAGACAGAAGCTCCCGACGCCACGCAGCTCGGCAGAGCTTTCGGAAGGGATCTCCAGTCCCACCGTCCGCAGGTTGAGGGTGTCCAGGTAAAGAATTTCCGGTGGCTTTTCCCAGGAGCTGGGAACACAAAAACAACAGGGCGGTGCGTCGATGTGGTGATGTCACGACGCCCCACCCTTCGCCCCGCCCCCAGCATTCCGGACCTTGGGGGACCCGGGGGGCAGGCACCTTGTGGGTTTCAGTGTGATTTTTTCCTATCTAACCTTTTCGCTCATTAGAGTTCATTGCAAACGGAAACAGTTTTTACGTCTTATGTTATGAAAAATGGAACGTTAAAGATGGTTTTAAAACAAAACATATGTTCTAAAGATGTTTTCTTCCCTCTCCATCGCTTTTTCTTGGTTTCGCCCAAAAACAAACTTAGGAGGAGAAAATCGAGGTTTTTCCAGCTGCCTGGGATCTGGAATCTGGGGAAAGAGGGATTGAGGGTCCAGGGGTGTCAGGCCAGTGCAGAAATGACCCATGCTTGTATTTTGGCCTTTGCTCCTTCAATTGCAACCGCCTGGCACTTTGGAAACTAGTCTGGATTCATTCGACCGTGACCCCTCCTTCACCTCGTGGGCGTCATTTTGTTTGGGTCTGTGCTGCAATTTGCTCCTAGAGCAGGAACAGAAACAAAACGTGACTCAGGAATTCGAAGGGACTGTTAGGTGAAGGGCATCAGATGTAATCAAGGTTCAGAGAATGGGTGTCTGTCATGACTACTAAGGGCTTGGAGCATACTCAAATATAGAAATGATGCACTTTCTCCTATTACCTCAGAAGTTGGGCCTGTCTTATGGAAAAGATCAAGAGATTTAAGTGATTAATTCAGTAGTGTTTCCCACACATTCTTTTTTCTTACGCAAAAATTAACCTGACGAATAGGACTACTGGTCGTGTCCCCAGTGTGAACAGAAAGCGCCCCCGGAAAGGGTGGTGGGCCAGGGTCCAGGGTTGCTGCCCTCTGGCCGTCCCCTTACCTCACCAAGAAGCAAATGGTCTAAGGCCTTTCCAACCACTGTTAATGACAGTGATTTCAGGGTTTTACTGGGGAGGAGCAGTAGAAATTGTGAAAGATTAAAGAGGGGTGAATAAGGGCTGCTTTGCCCAGAATAAGTTTAGGAAGTTCTGAAAACTATGTGAGACAAAGAGCAGCCCCAGGCACCTACCTTGTATCAAGTTTCCAGGTTCTCTGATTTTAAAAATAAACCACAAAATAAAAGAAAGTAAGTCACATTATTGAAACAAGAAAAATGAATTGCATAGCCATACCTCTTGATGGCACCTTTCAATTCTTTTTATGTGTGGCAATCCAATAGTTACTTTATCACATTGTATATTTACATGTTTTTAGTCCTTATTTTCAATTTTAAAATTTTAGCTTATTTTAGCTTTGACCCAAATATAGCAAAATCTTTCAAAAGGGTACTTTACAACCAGTTGAGAAAAGTAATTACAATGGAGATTGGTATTTTAAGACTGTTGTTTTCTGATCAAATCTACTGGAAATAAATCCTAGCTAGTTAAAATGCTGGTTTTAACTTTTATTTTAAAAAACACCTAAGCACAGTGACAATTTATACACGAAAAATCATTTGGAGATTAAATTTCAGTTAATCTTTCTGCCTCAGGTCTCTTCAAAATACCCAATCTGTCAACTTCTAAAGTTTGCTATCATTTTCAACATAAAATTTAAAATATTGTACAGAAGACAACTTTATAAATTACTACATTCCATCAGATAAAATATTTCAACATTCCTTTTATAACCAAATTAAAAAAGAAAATATTAAAAAGCTCACATTTCAGGAACTCTTATTCATTGCTGATGGAAATGGAAAATGGTAGAGCCAGTTTGGAAGACACTTGCATGGTTTCTTAGAAAACATACTCTTACAAGCAATCATCCTCTTTCATATTTGCCCAAAAGAGCTTGGATACTCCTGTCCACATAAAAACCTGCATATGGATGTTTTAAGCACATTCATTTATAGGTGCCCAAACTTAAAAGCAATCCAAATGTCCTTCAGTAGGTGAATGGATCTTGGCCCCAACCCACAGATGGGAGGAATATTAGAGAATTTGTGAGCATGTTTTAAAACCACTGCTACTACTCAAACTCACTCTTCATTTTTAAAAAAGTATTCATTTATTTTTTTTGAGAGAGAGAGGGGAAGGGAGAGAGGAAGAGAGGGAGAAAAACATCAATCGATGTGCAAGAGATGTATCAATTGCTTGCCTCTTGCATGCTGCCAGCTGGGGACCTGGCCCACAACCCAGGCATGTGCCCTGACCAGGAATCAAACTGGTGACCTTTTGGTTTTGGGGCCAACATTCAATACACTAAGTCACACCAGCCAGGGCAAACCCATTCTTAGTCTTTGATTTTTGTGTTCATCGTTTCCAGAAGAGAGACAGAGCGTGCGCTAGCCCCCTGAAGCCAGACTAAATATAATGTAATCATATTTCACATGTCATTTCTTTTCTTTCATGTGTCAATATCACTCAATGGTGATAAATTCTCTGTAGTCTTTGGGGAATAGTCAGTAGAAACATTAGAAACAAGGTGAGGACGTTTCCTAGGAAGCAAAACAGTAAGACAAAGAGATGGAAAGGGGGCAAAGGATGTAAATTAGAGGTTGAGCATTCAAATTCTAGGAGTCTCAGAGACAGAGAATTCAGAAAATGGGGAAGGGAGGTCAGATTTTATTTGTAACAGCTAGTTATGCCTTAGAAATCTTAAGAGGAAATGTTTCTTCTTAGAATTTTGTGAGAAGCCAAACTATCATTTAAAGTAAGAGGGTAACACAAGACATTCCTTAGACATGGAAACTCCAAAAATTCATTTCTTGTGCATCTGTTTTCAGAAAACACCTGGAAAATAAGAACGTAAACTAAGAAAGGAAAAGACATGGGACGTAGGAAACAGGATTTAACACACGATGAGGATAATCTCCGATATAGTGTAAGTGGTTGATAGTTCTTACTGTTTTAATTTACAAGCTTTATGAATAGTTTGGTATATTAACCCCCATAATCCTCACATAAAATAGTGTAATGTATATTTACTCATTTTGTCCCCATTTTACAACAAGAAATTGAAGCATAGAATGATTAAGTGACTACACTATTCTTGGACAAGTAGTAAGGGAAAATACCAAAATTTTACCCCATTACCCTGCTTCCCATTATACTCATTAATCAAAATCGTAATATTTAGAAGCTAGGAGGGCACAAGAAAGGTTCAGATGTATCATGGTATTTTAGGGGTTCAGAAGAAGCCACCCCAAGTTATGCCACAGTGGTATGCAGATTACTTTGAGCTAAAGGTGATATATAAAGGACTTATACAACTCAACACCAGGAAGACAAGCAATCCAATTAAAAATGAAAAAGGACCTAAATAGACATTTCTCCAGAGAGGACATACAGGTGGCCAATAGACATATGAAAAGATGCTTGACTCCACTAATTATCAGAGAGATGCAAATTAAAACCACAGTGAGATATCACTTCACACCTTCCAGAAGGGCTATCACCACTAAGTTAACAAACAACCTAGTGCTAGCAAGGAGGTAAAGAAAAGGGAACCCTCATCCATTGTTGGTGGGGATGCAGGCTGTTACAGCCATTATGGCAGACTATGGAGTTTACTCAAAAAATTAAAAATGAAACTGCCTTTTGACCCAGCAACCCCACTTTTGGGAATATATCCTAAGAATCTCAAACCACCAATTGGAAAGAATATATGCACCCCAATGTTCATTGCAGTGTTAATTGCAATAGCCAAGATTTGGGAACTGCCCAAGTGCCCATCAGTAGAAGAATGGATGAAAAAGCTGTGGTACATTTACCCAATGAAATACTACATGGACATAAAAAAGAAGAAAATCTTACCTTTTGCAACAGCATGGATGGACCTAAAGATTATTATGCTAAGTGAAATAAGTCTGTCAGAGAAAGACAAATACCATATATTCTCACGTATATGTGCAATCTAAGGAACAAAATAAACTGACAAACAAAATAGAAACAGTGGCATGGTTACAAGGAACAAACAGAGAGCTGTCAAGGGAAGGGGTGGAGGGATGGATGAAAGAAGTGAAGGGAGTAACCAAATAACATATATATGTAACACATGGACACAGACAAGAGTGTGGCGATAGCCAGAGGAAAAGGCAGGTGTGGGCTAGTTGGAGGAGAGCAAAGGGGGAAGGGAGGATGGGCACGGAAAGAGACTGCTTGGGACAGTGGGCACACAACGCAGTGTGCAGATGATGCTTTATTGAGTTGTACATTGGAAACCTGCATGGTTTTGCCAATCAATGTTACTTCAGTAAATTCAATTTAAAAAAATAAAAAGCTTAAACTCAAGAGAAATTCCTCCCCCCGCCCCCTGCTTTGACTCCATGGGAGAATTTGAACTAGACCTTATCCATAAAAGAATATCAGACAGAACTTTTTTGACCTATCTGTACATCAGGACAAACTACTATTAACTGAATATCTTCTCTTCTTATCTTCCTGCAATGACCTTATCATCCTGTGAAGCCCCCAAGACAGCTATCTCAATCCTAGCTCAGGAAGTCTCACATACCTCAAGCCTCCTTTCTTTCTCTGAACCTCTCATGTATGCAAGGATTCTAACTCTCTTGTGTATGTGGGATTCCCATGCACAACAAATTAAATTTAACTTTTCTCTTGTCAATCTGCGTCCTATTTATTTGATTACTTAAGCCAGCCAAAAGAACCAGAGGAGGAAAAGATTTTTTTTCCGTTTTCCACAGTAGTAAAGGTAGGAATCATTGTAATTAAAAATGGCTAAATATTCATTTTTATAATGGCAAGTTAATAGTTGATGCTGCAAACTGAAAATAAAAATCAAGAATAGCAGCATATGCATGGTAGTTGGAGAAATGTAAATTTTACAAAGTCATCTAAAAAGCAGTTTTTGTAAGAGTGTGTGGTGGGAAGGTGCTCCGTATTCATTTGATTTAAAAAGAATAAAAATTAAATTTAAAAATAAGAGCAACATGTTTTCCCTTTTGGTATTTGAAGTTCAAGGAAGTTGAGTATAAAACCAGCTCCAACAGTCAGCT